GTGTCCCGCGGTGTCCCTCCCGGTTGGCCGGCGGTGGCCTGCGGCCGTCCCGCGGTGTCCCGCGGTGTCCCGTCGTGTCTGGTGCTATGCAATGCTGTGCTGTGCTGTGCTGTGCTATGCCATGTTGTACAATGCTACGCTATGCTATCAATTCGATGCTAAGCTATGCGGTGTGATGCGATGCGATGCGATGCTATGCTATGCTACGCCATACTGTGCCATGCGATGGTGTGCTATCATATGCGATGCGATGCGATGCTATGACATGCTAGGCGATGCTATGCTGTGCTATGCTACGCGATGCTCGTCTATGCTGTGATGTGCGATGTTATGCTCTGCTGTGCGATGCAATGCTATGCTGTAGCTCCAGTTGATCCCCCTTCCTCCCCCCACCACCACACACACAACCTCCTTTATCACCCGAAGGGTGGTCGTACATGTAGGGATGCACTGGCAGGATCTCGCGGCCAGAGACGCAACCGCCTCGCGCACACTTGCCTGGAGCGGGGAGGGATGGGGAGGAATGGGAACGATCAGGGAGGAGCAGGGAGGGGTGCGGAGTGAGGTGTCTTGTGGGCCTCTTGGACTGTCTGAGAGCGCTCTGGGATCCACAGGCGCCTACGGAGGTCGTCTTGGAGGGCTCTGTAGGACGTCTTGGGGCGATCCTGGGAGCTTCTTGGGCCGTCTCGGAGGCCTTGTTGGGATGTCTTGCGGCGCTCTCTGGATTCTCTGAGGCCGTTGTGGACGCTAATATTTTTTACGCATCTGCCAGACATAGACGCTTCCATTGGGAATTAGGGCGATGTGTGTTCCTTGCGGCCCTCATATGTACCTCTTGGGTGCCTCTTGGGGGGGCGTCTGAGGGTCCTGAAGCCGTCATTGGCCGTCTTGGCTGCGTGGAGGCCGACTTGAGGCCACCTGCGGCCAGATTGAGGCAATCCGGAAGCCTCCCGCGAGCCTCCTGGAAGCAGTTTTGACGCATCGAGGGCACACTTGGGGTATTTTAAAACCTCTTGGACGTCTCCTAGGGGCCTTTTGGGCCCTCGGGAAGCTTTTCGGGTCCTCCTGTGGGCCTTTTTGGGGAACGCTCTGCTGTTGGGTCGCGTTCCCCTTCTTGGGCCTCTCTTGGGGCTCTTGGGGCCCTCTCGGGCCGTCTTGGGCGCCTCAAGCACCGTCTTGGGGCCCTCGCGGGCCGTCTTGGGGCCCTCTTGGAGGCCTCTTCCTCTATATTGGAGCGGTATTGGAAGCCTCTTGGGCCGTCTTGGAGCATCGGGATGCCAAAAGGTAGAAAAAATAAAAACCCGTCAAAGCCCAATCGTAAAACAATGAGTTGTGCCTATTTGGGCCACCTTGGGAGATCTCTTGGGACCTCGTTGGCCCTCTTGGGAGCTTCTTGGGGGCCTCTTGGATACGATTGGGGGCCTCTTGGGACTTCCCGAGAACCTCTCGGGGTAGAAAGCTCGGATTCTCAGTTCGTGTTTCCCTTCTTGGGCTTCTCTTGGGGCCGTCTTGGGGCCCTCTCGGGCCTTATTGGTTGCCTCAGGCACCGCCTTGGGGCCCTCGTGGGCCGCCCAGGGCCCTCTTGGAAGCCTCTTCGGCTATCTTGGAGCTGTCTTGGAGGCCTCTTCCTCCTCCTCGTCCCCCTCCTCCTCCTCCTCCTCCTCCTCCTCCTCCTCCTCCTCCTCCCACTCCAACTCTCTCTCCTCCTGATCTTCCTCCTCCTCCTGCAGCGTGTTCCGGAAGGCTCCCGCCGGAACATGCTGTGCACAAGTGCTGTCACTGCTCCCGCCACAGTGCCCTGGGTGGTGGGTCAGAGGCCTCATGGGTGTTGGTTTGGATCTCGTGGTTGGCCTGTCGGGGACGTCGTGAATGCAGTTTCGCAGCTTCTGGGTAGCCGTTTTGGGACCGTTGTGGGGTCTCCTCGGGGCTGTTTTGTGGCCTCTTTTGGCCTCGTTTGGGCCTCCTGGGTGCCTCTTGGGGGCCTCCTGGGGCCTCTTGGGGGCTCCTTGGGGCCTCCTGGGGCACTCTTCAAGCGGGAGGGTCGAATTTTGGAGTCGTGGTCCCCCTCTTGGGCGCATCTTGGGGCCGTCTTGGGGCTCTGTTGGGCTGTCTTGGGCGACTCTGGGGCCGTCTTGGGGTGCTCTTGAGGGCCTATTGAGCCGTCTTGGAACGTCGGACAACCGAACAGGCTGGAAGGCCAAAATCGTTCGAAAACCTGTGTAAAATTGACGATTTCGGCGAAATTGCGGCATCTTGAAGCGCTCTGGAGAGGCGTCTGGAAGCGTCGTGGAGTGCCTTGGGGGGCCTCTCGGGCCGTCTTGGGCCTATCTTGGGCGTCCTGGAGCGGTCTTTCGGCGACTCGGGGCCCGTTTGGGCCGTCTTGGGAGCCTCTGGCGGCCCTCCTGGACTGTTTTGGACCTCCCCTGCCGCCCCGTCCTCCCACGGGGGGTCGGAGGCGGCGGCCTCCAAGGCCCAGGACGCGGAAACCCTGTAAAAACACAAGGAAAATTAACCCCGGTACTCCCATGCCCTGTCGGGGCAGCGCCTCCGGGCGCCCGGGCGTCGTGCACGGGGATCTATATATATATATATATACATACATACATACATACATACATACATACATACACACATCTATATATAGATATGTGTATACATACATATATGTATAGGTGTATATACATCTATATATATACACACTATTAATTGTTCCTGGCCCCGAACGGCCAAAAGAGGCCCAGGATAGAAGACTTGGAAATGAAATAATCTTGCCCCCGCCAAATCCAAATCAAATCAAATCAAACATCAAAGCAATCTGGCCCCCCCCCAAGAAAAAATGTCCGAGCGATGCCAAGATAAGACGCACGTGCATAGTACGTGCACCTCCGCACGTCCCCTCGGATTCCTTGGATCTGAGCTGCAGCCCGCTCCAGGGCGGCGCCAGAGGCGCCGCCAGGGGGCGGCGCCCAGAGGCGCCGCCCGTGGGGGTCCAGCGCAGATGGAAGAAATCCCCGCAGACCTGTGAACACTGATGTGTACACGTCGCTCATTTGTAATCGTGCTCGTTTAGAATTGTTCCTGGCCCCCAAAGGGCCAGGAAGAGGCCCAGGATAAAACACTCAGAGATGCAAGGATCGTGGCCCCCCCTGGAAGCCAGCGAACTTTCGAAGAATTAGAGATGAACAAGGTGCACGTTCTTTCTTCCGGCGAGGCGAGGGGGCCGCGGTCGAAGAACTGATGGATGGACGGGCGAAGGGAGCGAGGGCTCGGGAGGAGGCGGGGAGGGCGTGGGCCGCACGAGGGCCGGAGGCAGGAGGGGGCTTGTGGGCCAGAGGGGACCCGCTCCCTGATTCTGGCGCGGGCAGCGGAAGCTGGGCGGAGCCCTGAAGGACGAGGGGGTGCCGGCGGCCAGCACCACCCTCGTCCAAGCAAGGAGGGCTGCCGTGGGCGAGAGCCCACCTCGGCCCTTCCGGAAGATCCTCGGCCGGGGGCCCACGCCGCTGCCGCAGTGCAGACATGTGCAGACCGCACCGTGGCAACAGCGGGGGCCCTGTGGTCGAGGGTCCCGCCCCGCGAGGATGAGGAGGATGAGGAGGACAGGAGAGGTGTACGTCGGTGGGAAGAAGTAAGTAAAAACACGAAGTGGGAAGGCCGATGGAGTTGATTGGGGCCAGGGCCCCCCAGGGAAGAACGAAACACAGCAAAAGCGTGTCCACTCTTGAAGTAAGAAGGCGCTTGGCAAGGCGACAAGAACATCGGCGGGAGGCGAGCCGAGAAGTCGAGGGGGCGAGCGCGGTCCAGAGGGGCGGCCAGGGCGCGGACGGCGTCGACGACGACGACGCCGACGACGGCGACACCGCCGACGACGGAGAATTCTCTCTGGGATCCGAAGGCCTCTGCGCTGGCCCGGGGCGGGAGGCCGTGTTCTTGGACCGGCGGCGGCGGCTGTCCGAAGTGCGGCTCGTCCGCGCCGTCCGTTGTGAGGTTCCTCGGGGCTGCTTGGGAGCGTCTTGAAGCCTCCTTTGGGCCTCCTGGGCTTATCTTGGGGGTATCCTGGGGCCTTTTCGGGCCCCTTTGGGGCCTCCTGGGGCCCTGTGGAGGCGGGAGGCTCGAATTTGCGGTTCGCGGTTCCCCTCTTGGGGCCCTCTTGGTGCCGTCTTGGGCCTCTCTTCGCCCGTCTTGGGCGCGACTGGGGCCGTCTTGGGGCCCTCCAGAGCCGTCTTGAGGCCCTCGTGGAGGCCTGTTGGGCTGTCTTGGGGCGTCTGGGGGGGGGGCCTGTGAGCCGTCGTGGAGCGTCGGAGAGCTGAAAAGGCGGGAAAGGCAAAATGCGTCCAAAACCATTGTAAAACTAACGATTTTGGCTTCTTGGGGCCCTCTGGGGGGGCCTCTTGGAGGCCTCTTGGAACGTCTTGGGGGCCTCTTTGGCCGTCTTGGGCTTATCTTGGGGGTCTCCTGGGGCCTCTTGGGGCCCCTTTGGGGCCTCCCGGGGCCCTGTGGAGGCGGGAGGCTCGAATTTGCGGTTCGCGGTTCCCCTCTTGGGGCCCTCTTGGGGCCGTCTTGGGCCTCTCTTCGCCCGTCTTGGGCGCGTCTTGGGCCGTCTTGGGGCCCTCCAGAGCCGTCTTGAGGCCCTCTTGAAAGCCCCTTGGGCTGTCTTGGGGCGTCCGCGGGGGGCCTGTGAGCCGTCGTGGAGCGTCGGAGAGCTGAAAAGGCAGGAAAGGCAATATGTGTCCAAAACCTGGGTGAAATGAACGATTTTGGCCTCTTGGGGCACCTAATGGGGGCCTCTTGGAGGCCTCTTGGAGCGTCTTGGGGGCCTCTTTGGCCGTCTTGGGCTTATCTTGGGCATCTTGGGGCCCTCTTGGCGCCCTCTTGGGCATCTTGGAGCCTGCTGGGCCTGTCGTGGAGCGCTCTTGTGGCACTCTTCGGCCGCCTGGGCATATGTATGTGTGTGTGTGTGTGTATATATATATATACATATACACAAACAGATACAGATACACATACCTGTACATGTACAATGGCGTCAGCGACGTTGTATATGGCGCTGGCGCCAGGAAAGCCAGGACGACTTGACAGGAGCTTCACCACGGCCAAGCGTGAGATGAGAGCACCAACGCGAGGACGACCAGGAGAACAGTTGAGCGCCGCGACTGCGCACGCGATGCATTGCACAGGCCACACGTTGCGGGGCAGGCCCCGCGCAGATCGATACTCCATACTCCACACTCCAGATCGACGCCATCGAACTGCACGTCAGCACAGCCACTGAGGATCAGGCCCAGGCCGTTTGCAATGTTGATCGCCTCGGCGTCATCATCCACGCACGTGTGGCACTGACTTGTGGCTAAAGTGCACGTTTGTGAAACATGTCCTCGATCCGCAAGCACACGGGTACGCGGAACTCAGATCCGTGCCATCGGTCACCAGGCAGCCTGCCACCTGGCAGACGCCACACGTGAAAGGGCACACCTGGCGTGCAATACTGCCAAGCTTCGGATCGTCGCAATAGACACGCACGTCTGCACAGCCATTGACCTTCATGGCAAAGCCCTTTGCAACCTCGATCGCACCAGCATCATCATCCGCGCATGGCGTAGGCTCTGGTGAAATCCAGCTGCGTGCCACGGGCAAAATGCCAAACAATGCCACCACGGGGAATCGTCCGACAACCATACTTGAAAAGAAAACGGACGGAAGTTACGGAAAAAGAAAACGGCTTCAACAAAATGGCGACGAACCGTCTTGGGGCGGTTTGGGGGGCCGTTTGGGCCGTCGAGGACGCTGTGGAAGCCCGACAGTCGTACATGCTGAAATGCACGTTTTCCTCTGGGAATGCAGCGATTTGGGGGAATAGCAGGAAGGAGGGGGAGGAGGGAGGAGGAAAGGGGGAGGGAGAGTGAGAACAGGAGGAGGGAGAGCAGGAAATGAAGGCGAGCAGGAGAGTGAGAGTGGAGGAAGGCGGGAGGGAGAAGGAAGGACGGAGCAGGGGAGAGGAGGGAGGGGTGGGTGAGGGAGAGGGGGAGGAGGCACGAGAAGGAGTACGAGGATGAGGCGGAGTGAGGGGGAGAGTGTTGCATATCTTCTGTAGAGGAGGTGTCTCCGATTTGTGGCGTGCAACAAGTATCACGCAGTCCCTACAGGGGCCGCTCGCGGCATTCGTGGGGGCCGCTTGAGCGTCTCTTGGGGGTCTCTCGGGGGGCTTCTTGGAAGCTTCTTGGGGGACTCTGGGGGCCCCTTGGGGACCGCTGGCGTGCTCCAGGGGCCACCCTGGCGCCGACCCAGACCCTCGTGTTGTGAAAAACCTAGAACCATCGCGCGCGCTTCGCGCGCGCTCAAGTTCTAGCCCAGGCTGGGGGCGCGCTAGAAGATCTTGGACAGCGCTATCAAGCACAGGCGCGTGACATAGTCGTCCCTCCTGAGGGCCTCTTGGGAACCTCTTGGGTCTTCGCGGGGGCATCTGAAGGGCTTCTGGCGGGTTCTCCGTGCTTCCTCAATTGGCTGTTGGAGGCACTTCTTGGGTGCTTCTCGGGGGGGCATATTGGGGCTTCTTGGGGTCCCTTGGGGGCATCGTCAGGGTTCTCCGGGCAGTCGGAAAGTGATGCTCTGCAGTCTGAAGCAGTCAATTGGGTGTCTTGGCTGCGTGGAGGCCCGGCTTGAGGCCACATTGGGGCAATCCGGAAGCCTCCTGGGCCTCCTTGAAGCAATTTTGATGCATCGAGAGCACTGCTCGGCTATCTTGGGGCCCCGTGTGTACGTCTCCTGTGAGCCTTTTAGGGCCTGGTGGGGGGCATGGGGCCTCGTCGGACCAGTTGGGGACTCTTGGGGCCTCCTGTAGGCCTCTGAGGGCGGAAAGCTCTGCTGTTGGGTTCGCGTTCCCCTTCTTGGGGCTCTCTTGGGGCCCTCTCGGGCCGTCTTGGGCGCCTCGGGAACCGTCTTGGGGCCCTCGTGGGCCGTCTTGGGGCCCTCTTGGATTCCTCTTCGGCTATCTTGGAGCGGCCGTGGGGGCCACTTGGGCCGTCTCTGAGCGTCGGGATGCCAAAAGGCTGGGAACTCTAAAATCCATCAAAAGCCGATGGGAAAACAATGCTTCTTGGAACCTCTTCGGTCTTCTGGGGAGCTTCTTGAGGGCCTCTTGGGTCCCGTTTGGGGGCCTCTGGGGCTTCCTGAGAGCCTCTCGGGGTGGAAGGCTCGGATTTTCGCTTCGTCTTACCCCTCTTGGGCCCCCCTTGGGGCCGTATTGGTGCCCTCTCGGGCTGTCTTGGGCCCTGTTGGTGGCCTCTTGGGCTATCTTGGATTGGCCTTGGAGGCCTTTTGGGCCGTCTTAGAGCGTCAGAACGCCAAAGGGCTGAAAACTCGAGCATCAATCAAAAACCTACACCGGACTCACCTCTCTAGCGCTCACTTCTATAGTGCTCACTTTGAAATTGTGGTCCGAAGGGGCCGCACATGCAGGCACATGCCGCACAGTCGCATGCACATGCCCATGCAAATATACAAAAGCCTCAACAGCATTGCCGCACATGCGCGCACATGCCACACCGTCCGACGCACAGTCGAATGCACGGTCAAGCAAAACTCTGAAAGCATAGACGCACATGCCCGCACATGCCGCAGAGATGTCGCAGGCGATAGTGGCCTGACCACCTGAGCTCGGGGCATTTCGCAACCCAGAGTTCCGAGGATGTCTCAGGCAAGCGTGGCCGGATCACCATGGGGCAGGGCATCTTGGAAACCAGAGTGGCGAGGATGTCGCTGGTCAAGGTGACCAGACGACCATGGGGCAGGACACCTCCGAGGTCTGAGTTGTGAGGATGTCTCAAGCGAAAGTGGCCTGACCACCATGGGGCAAGAGATCTCTGAGGTCAGAGTTGCGAGGATGTCTCTGGGGAGAGTGGTCTGACCACCTCAGCCCAGGGCATCTCGGAGCCCAGAGTTGCGAGGATGTCTCAGGCAGGACTGGCCTGACCACCTGCTCAGGGCATCTCAGAACCCAGAGTTGCGAGGGTCTCAGGCGAAAAAGGCCGAGACACTATGGAGCAGGGCATCATTGAGGTCAGAGTTGCGAGGATGTCTCAGGCAAAAGTGGCCTGAACAGCTCAACTCAGGGCATCTCGGGCGAGGATGTCTAAAGCGAAAGTGGTCTAACCACCTCAACTCAGGGCGTCTCGGAACCCAGAGTTCCGAGGATGTCTCAGGCGAAAGGGGCCGAGACACTATCGAGCAGGGCATCATTGAGATCAGGGTTGCGAGGATGTCTCAGGCGACAGTGGCTGACCACCTCAGCTCGGGGCATATCGGAATCGAGACTTGCGAGGATGTCTCAGGCGACCGTGGCCTGACCAGCATGGGGCAGGAGATCTCTGAGGTCAGAGTTGCGAGGATGTCTCATGCGAAAGTGGTCTAACCACCTCAGCTCAGGGCGTCTCGAAACCCAGAGTCCCGAGGATGTCTCAAGCGAAAGTGGCCGGGCCACCATGGGGCAGGGCATCTCCGAGACCAGAGTTGCGAGGATGTCTCAGGCGAAGGTGGCCAGATCACTTCATGTCAAAGCACGTCGGCCTCCAAATTGCCGACGACGTCTCACGCGGAACTGGCCGGACGCGAACGCGCCGGCGTCCGGAGACGAACGCCGGCCCCGGCATTCTTGCACGTCCCGCACATGCACTGCACAGATTCGCACAGTATTCGCACTGGCCGAGCCAGGCCAGCGATTCCGAGATTCCCTGAGCTCGGGCCGTCAAGCCACTTTCGCCTGAGACAGCCTCGCAACTCTCACCTCCTCCTCCTCCTCCTCCTCCTCCTCCTCCTCCTCCTCCTCCTCCTCTCCTTCTCCTCTGGCCGAGCCGAACAGGCAGGCTGGCCAGTGGCCGGGGGCGCCCGCCTCCTCCGCCCCCCCCTCCTCCCCCCCCCTCCACCTCCCCCCCCCCCATCCCTGCTTCTCCGGCCGAGCTGAGAAGGCGCGCGGGAGAGTATTTTATTAGGCGGGCGCGCCACCGCCAGCTCACGAACCGGGCGAATAACCGCCCCCGCCAGCAGCGGGCGAGTCTACACGCACAACAAACTCTTTCAGGAAATCCTGGCACGCCCCAGGTTAGCTCTGCGAAGGCCAGGAGGCATTGGAGGCACAGGGGTCCCAGACAGCTCCTAGGGCATGAGCGTGCATGTGCATTGGGATGTGCACGCATGTGCGCCCGCGCGCTTCACCGCATGTGCGTGCATGTGCGGGCCCGCGCGGCCTCCCGAAGAGAGGTTGCACAGGCATGTGCGTGCATGTGCCGATGACAGATCTGCGATTCTCGAACACCTCCCGCATGTGCAGGCATGTGCGCGCATGTGCGTCGGACTGTGCGTGCATGTGCGCATGATGGATACATAAAAACACAGCGCACATGCCCCCGCACATGCCCGGGCACGACGTGCACAGTAGGAAGTCCATCCAAGAAGGACCGCACAGGCCTGGCACATGACTGGCACATGCCGCGCACATGCGCGCACATGACAGCGCAAAAACGGCCGCACATACACCCACCCAGGGGTATAGATGTGAGTGCGGTGTATGGCATGACATGGATTTTTGCCTCTTGGGGCCTTCGTGGGAGGCCTCTTGGATACTCTTCGGCCCCCTGGGGGGCTTCTTGGGGCCTCTTGGATCCTGTTAGGGGCTTCTCGGGGCCTCCTGAGAGCCTCTCGGGGTGGAAGACTCGGATTTTTGGTTCGTGTCCACCCTCTTGGCTCCATCTTTGGGCCGTCCTGGGGCCCTCTCGGGCCGCCTTGGGCGCCTCTGGCGCCGTCTTGGGACCCCCGTGGGCTGTCGTGTGACCGTCTTCGAGGCCTCTGGGGATGCCTTGGAGCGGAAATGAAAGCCTCTTGGGCCGTCGTGGAGCGTCAGGAAACTCAAAAGGCGAGAACTCGAACATCGATCAAAAACCAAAGGAAAACAAATTAGTTGTGCCTCCTGGGGCTCCTTGGGAGCCATCTTGGAGACCTCTTGGGGCGTCTCGGAGGCCTCTCGGACAGTCAGGGACCAATTCTGGGGTGATCTCGGGCGGTCATTGGTCGTTTTCGTTGTCTGGATACGCCAGGGCCGTCTTCGGGCGACTTTACAAGGACCCCAGCGCCACGGCAAGGCCTCCGGGCCCCCCGGTGCGAGGGCCGGCCCCTTCCCGGGCCCCGCCTCGTGCCCGCGGCAGGGCGTCCCTGGGCCGTTTCGGCGCCCTCGTGGGGGCCTGTTGGGGCGACAGTGGGTCTGAAATCCATCAAAAACCGAAGGACAAACAATGATTTTGGCGTCCCTTTGGGCCGTGTTGGAAGCCTTGTGGGCAGTCCGGAGGCCATCTTGGGCGTGTTCGAACGATATATCCTCGTTTCGGGGCCTCTTGGGGGCCTCTTGCGGCCCTTTTCGTCTGTGTTGGGGCTTTCTTGGGTCGTCTGGGACGGCCCTGGGCTGTCTCGGCGCCCTCTTGGAAGCCTGTTTGGAAGATTTCTGGGTGTCCTGGACCGTCATCCTTCAACGTCGGCGGCACTGGCCGTAAGACTTCCTGGGAACATGATTTGTTGGGGTGTAATTTTGGGCGCCTCCAGAGGCTTCAGGGCCTCACGCGTTTCCGAGCGTGGCGGCAGGTAGCGCTGCTTGGGACTCTCGTTTTTTGATTCTGGCAGGCGTTTATAAACATGGTTTGGGGAGAGGGCGGCAACCCGAGAATCATGTTCCCGGGAAGCTTTCTGGGAGCATGTTTTTTTCGGCTCTCTTAAGAGGGGGGGGCTCTGGGGGCTTACCGAGGGGCCCTTTTTGGCCTTGTTGGCAAGCCTATTGGAAACATGGTTGGGGCGGTGGGCGGAAGTCCAATGAATCATGTTCCCGGAAAGCTCTGAGAAATACGATTTACCGAGGTCTATTGGGGGCCCACAGAGGGCTTCCCTGGGGGGCCCTTGGGGGCTTATTGGGGCTTCCGGGGGGCCTCTTGGGAGCCTCACGGGGCTTCTTGGGAGCCTCCTGATGGCCTCTCGGGGCGTCCTAGGAGCCTCTCAGGCTGGAGACCTTGAAATGTCGCACTCTTCGGGCCCCCTTGGGTCGCTCTTGGGGCTCTCTTGGGGCGCTCTCGAGGCCCTCTTGAACTATCTGGGGATCCTCCTGGGCCGTCTCTGGTCTTTCCTTGGGAGCCTCTTCGGCCGTCTTGGAGCGATCTGAAGGGCCTCTGACGTCGTCCGGGACCGTGGGGAGGCGGAACATGCGAGACCGCAAAAATGCTGGTCCTTTTGGAAGGGCCTCTGGAGGCTCTCTTAGGACGTTTTGGCGGCGTCGTTGGCCGTCCTGAGGCCATCTTCGGCGTGTCCGGGGCCGCTTGGGGCTGTCTTGGCAATCTTTAGGGCCCTCTTGGCGTGTCGTGGCGTGTTTGGGAGCGGGCCCGGGCAGTCCCGGGAGCTCTGGGGGCTGTTGAATGCTAGGTGTTGTCTTGGAGGCGGAGGCTGTTGAGTGCAGGGTGGCGCGTGCTACGCGGAAGGCGGGCGAGCGGCCGGGCGGGCGGCGGGCGGGAGGGTGGCGGGCGGGCGGGCGGGTCGGGATTTGAATGAATTCCTTAAGGGTGCTCTCTTGCAGCGGGAGCTTGTTGAGTACAGGGTGTTGCCTTGAAGACGGGGGCTGTTGACTACAGGGTGTTGGAAGCTGTTGAGTACAGAGTGGTGCGTGCTACGCGGACGGCGGGCGGGCGGCGGGTGCCTTAGGTGGTGGGTCAGAGGCCTCATGGGTGTTGGTTTGGATCTCGTGGTTGGCCTGTCGGGGACGTCGTGAAAGCAGTTTCGCAGCTTCTCGGTAGCCCTCCTGGACTATTTTGGACCTCCCCGGCCGCCCCGTCCCCCCATAGGGGGTCGGGGCAACTGTTCGTGTGCACGCTTTGACCGTCTTCGACGCCTCTCGGGCCGTGTTTGCAAGGTCTTGGGCGGTCTTAGGCGCCTATTGGGTTGTTTTTGGGCCCTCTTGGGCCGTCTTGGGGCGCTCTTGGGGGCCTCTTGGGCGATCTTGGGACGGTCTTGGGGACTTCGTGGTCTGTCTTGGAGGGTCGGGACGATGAAAAAACAAGAAAACCAAAAACCTGCAACAACCAACGGAATTCAATGATTTCGGCCTCTTGCAGCCCTCTTGGGAATGCTCTTGGGGCTCTCTTGGGACGTCTTGGAGGCCTCTTGGGCCATCGGGGAGCCATCTTGGGCGTCTTGGAGCGGTTTTAGGCGCGTCGATGAACGCTTTGACCGTCTTCGACGCCTCTTGGGCCGTGTTTGCAAGCTCTTGGGCGGTCTTAGGCGCCTATTGGGTTGTTTTTGGGCCCTCTTGGGCCGTCTTGGGGCGCACTTGGGGTCCTCTTGGGCGATCTTGGGACGGTCTTGAGGACTTCGTGGGCTGTCTTGGAGGGCCGGGACGACGACAAAAAACAAGAAAACCAAAAACCTACAAAAAACAAACGGAATTCAATGATTTCGGCCTCTTGCAGCCCTCTTGGGAATGCTCTTGGGGCTCTCTTGGGACGTCTTGGAGGCCTCTTGGGCCATCGGGGAGCCATCTTGGGCGTCTTGGAGCGGTCTTAGGCGCGTCGTGGCGCGCTTTGACTGTCTTCGACGCCTCTTGGGCCGTGTTTGCAAGCTCTTGGGCGGTCTTAGGCGCCTATCGGGTTATTTTTACGCCCTCTTGGACCGTCTTGGGGCGCTCTTGGGGGCCTCTTGGGCGATCTTGGGACGGTCTTGGGGGCTTCGTGGGCTGTCTTGGAGGGTCGGGACGACGAAAAAACAAGAAAACCAAAAACCTGCAAAAAACCAACGGAATTCAATGATTTCGGCCTCTTGCAGCCCTCTTGGGAATGCTCTCGGGGCTCTCTTGGGACGTCTTGGAGGCCTCTTGGGTCGTCTGGGAGCCATCTTGGGCGTCTTGGATCGATTGTAAGCGTCTCGAGGCACGCTTGAACCGTCTTCGACGCCTCTTGGGCCGGACAAGGGCGCTCCCGGAGGCCCGATCCCGCCATGGGGGGTTGCGGTCCAGGCCAGGGAGCCCCTGGCCCTGTAGCCCGGTATATATATATATATATATATATATAAATATATGTATAGGTAGATTGATATATACATATAGATAGATAGATAGATAGATAGATAGATAGATAGATAGATAGATAGGTAGATAGATAGATAGATAGATAGATAGATATATAGATAGATAGATAGATAGATAGATAGATAGATAGATAGATAGATATATAGATATATATATATATACATATATATATATAGATAGATAGATAGATAGATAGATAGATAGATAGATAGATAGATAGATATATCGATCGATAGATAGATAGATATATATATATATATAGTTATAGATATATAAATCTCTATATATATACATATATATATAAAGAGAGAGAGAGAGAAAGAGAGAGAGAGAGAGAAACAAACAACAACAGAGAACAACTGGAAGCAATGCGTCGGACAAGGAGGGCGAGAGGCCTGGACAAGAAAACGACTCGGCCAGGCGGAACTCGGCCAGTCTGAACACGTCCAGGCTGAACTCGGCCCGAGATCAGCTGGCCGAATTCAACCTGGCCGAATTCTTCCTGGCCATGTTCAATTGCTGCCGGCCTGGTGGATCGGGATGGAGAAGGGGTGTACAGCAGAAAGCCCACCCTCATAACAAGCACCCCGACAAGCAAAGCCGCTTGGTACACGCGCCCAAGAAAGGGATCGAACAAGACAGGGCTGTTTAGTAAACGCCCGGTGAGGGCCGCTTGGTAAACCCCAAGTAAAAGGGCGGGGGAGGCGTTTCCTCCCTTGACGGTGGGGATGGGCAGGGAGGCGCAGAAGAGCAGACGCAGAAATGGAACACCGGACGGGGCGGGCCGGCAGGGGGGCGTGGAGGAAGCTTGGAGAACGATGGAGGACTGGGGGAAGGACCGGAGGAGGAGGAGGAGTAGGAGGAGGAGGACGTGGAGGAAGCATGGAGACATAAAGAGGGATAACAGAAATGAGATGACGATGGTGGAGAGGTTGAGGAGGTATATGTGGAGGAATGAGGTTACGAAGAAGACGGGAAACGTCGATCCCCGTATCCAAGGCGGCGGAGATACGCCACCGCCAGCGCCGCGTCCGTCACCAGGCTGGTGGCCTCATTCGAGAAAGGATGGCTTCGTAAGAAGTGCATTCCTCTCATCGACCGTCCCTCCCTGTCACTCGTCCATCGCACCCTCCTCCACCTCACACTCTGGCCGTTCCCCTCGTCCTTGGCCCCCCCTTGCTGCTGCTTCTGCCCCTCGTCCCCCTGACCTCATCCTGGACAACCTTCGCGTAATTAGCAAAGATCCTTCCGAGGCCAGCCGCTACATCGCTGCATCTCCGTGGCCCTAGAGCCCGCAGGCCCTACGGAACGGAAACACACACACAAACTATATGTGCATAAACTTTTTCGGTGCCTCTCGTTTAGATCCGTCACTAGATGGCTTGATCCGAAGATCATCGCCTTGTTCACCGAAGCCTCGCCCGTCGCCACCAGGGCTTGCACAGTGCATGCGTTCGCTCGGGCGGGGGTCGGGGTGGGGAAAAGGATGTCTCAGTTTCTAGGCCCCAGAAACTTTTCCTGGGCAAAGGCCATGCCAATTTCTCCCGCTGCTTCACTCTGCAGACTCATGTTTCGTTGGCCGATGTATTGTGGACATGTAAACTTAAGTCGGGCCTGTCCTCCTACAGGGGGATTTTGGAAGACAAATAAAGCATAGCCAAACAAACAGACCCCCAACATGGCCAAACCATACTCAAACAATGGTTCCCCTACTGCTTTTCACTGTTTTTTTTGAACATTCCTCCTGGAGAGGGACAGGCCCGACTTAGAAATGTAGACCTTCTTCGGGCCCTGGGTCTGGACGGCCCCCAGGGCGCCTCTGGATCGGGCCTGGGCGGGGGCGACGCCCCGGAGAGGGAGCGGGCGGCGCCGTGCGATCCTCGCCCGCGGGACCTCCGGCCAGGCCCTCACCCCCCGGAGCGCGGGCGGGGGATACCCGCTGCGCGAGCGGCGCAGAGAGCCGCGCCCGGGGCATGCGGAATGACACGGCCTGCGAGCGACTCGCGCAGGGCTCTCTCGAGAACGGCCCGGCGCCCCCCTCGCTGGAGCAGCACATGGGGGAAGCGAGAGGTCACTGCCGAGGTTGTCGGCCCTGTTCCTGGAGATTGTGGCCTTGTCGGCCCAATGTTTGGGCGCCCGAGTTATCCGGGATAACTCGGGTCCGGGGTAACTCGGGTTTGGATTCCCGGAAAAGGAACCCGAGTTAGCCCTGACCCGAGTTACCCCTGATGATTCGGGGCTCTTGGACGGCCGATTTATCCGGGGTAACTCGGGTCCGGGGTAACTCGGGTTTGGATTCCCGAAAAACGAACCCGTGTTATCCCTGACCCGAGTTACCCCTGATGATTCGGGGCTCTGAAATGTTGTTTTTGCCCATATTGCCGGACGTTGTTGCTCCAGGGCGAAGGTTCATTTCCCCCTCCTGCAATTTACCTCCGTCGGGTGTTGCTGGAGGTGCCCCTGGCCCAAGGCGCCCCCAGCTTGTCGGGCCATTTTGGAGCCCCTGGGGCCCTCTGGGCCTCGTGAGGGGCGCCATGAATCCTGGAGGTACCTTGGGCCAGGGGTACTTCTAGCAACACCCGACTTTGTGTGTGTGTCTGTCTGTGTGTGTGTGTGTGTCTGTGTGTGTGTGTGTGTGTGTCTCTGTCCAGCCAGTCGTGAACTCAACGCGCGTGCCAATACCCAATCAGCCCAGCCGCGAACCACGAGCCGGTGCTGCTCCTCTCCCGCAGCCCCTTCCCCCCGGCCGGCGAGGAGCAGCGAGGCGGCGAACCCAGACCCCCGACGTCATGAATTTTTCATGACGTCGACCCCCAGCGGTATGGACCCATTCCCCGGGACCGTTTTTTCGTCCTGAGTCGTTTTTTGACGGTCCCGAGGGCCGGTAAGGGCCCCCAGAGGCCAAAAATAATCAAAAACCTCCCGTCGTGATTTTTTCATAGCTCGAGGGGGTCTGGGAACGGAGCAGCAAAGACCGGCGAGGGCAATGCCGCAAACGCCGGCCCGCGAGCCGCGAAATGACGAAGCAGGCCGAGACCGCCGGGGCCCGGACGCCGCGGCAGCCGTCGCCGCCGACCTTCCGCTCCCTGGCCTTCGGGCCTTCGCTCCTCCTCCTCCTCCTGCTCCTGCCTCCTCCTCCTCCTCTTCCTCCTCCTCCTCCTCCTCCTCCTCCTCCTCCTCCTCCTCCTCCTCTCCTCCTCCTCCTCCTCCTCCCCCTCCCCCTCCCCCTCCCCCTCCCCCTCCCCCTCCCCCCTCGGGACGATCCCGGCACCCCAGGGAACGCCCGTTCGGGACGATTCCCGCACCCCAGGGAACGCCCTCAACTCGGGTCGGGCGAAAGGGGGGGATAGCAAAGGGGGGGTTTGAGACTCAGCTCACGCAGCTGCTTTTCCCGGCGCCTTCCGGCGCCGGAGGCGGCTATGTATCGAGGAATGGACCCCTCGGCGAGGCCGAAAACAGCTGCATGCAGCAAATTTCGTACCCCCCCCTTTCTTCCCAAACCCCCCCTTTCGTCCGGCCCGATCAACGAGGCGCGGCGTTCGGAAAACAGTCGAGAACATGCCGAGGCCGCCGCCGCCGCCGTCCTGTCGGGGGGGACGACGAAGGGGCAGGACAGCAAAGAGTGGAGCAAGGACTCCGCCCACGTGGCTGGTCTCCCTTTTGGACGCCCGAGATGGGCACGGAAAGAATGGGTACAATGCCCAACAGACAGCAGTTCTTGTTCATTTTGAACAGGACTCGCTGTCCACGCCGCCGCGGTCTGTGTCCATTCGAGACAGGAGGCCGCCCGCCCAACAGCGGCCGCTGTTGGTTTGGGACAACATTTGTTGTTAGGCATTGTGCCCATTTTTTTCCGTACCCACTTTAGGCGTCCAAATCCCTGGCGCCTCCTGCATCGAGGAATGGGCCCGGCGGCGGGGCCGAAACCAGCTGCCTGCAGCAGACTTCGCGCGCCCCCCCCTTTCCCCATGCCGCGCTTTCGTCCGCCACCGCCGAGGCCGCCGCCGCGGCCGCCGCGGCCGACGCCGCCGAGGCCGCCGCCGAGGCCGCCGAGGCCGCCGCTCTCCGCCGCTCGAGGCCCCGGCCGCGGGCCCGTCGCCCGCGAGGGCGGCCGCTGGCGCCGCCGCGCCCGCGGCGCGGGCAAAGGCTGAGGCCGCCGGGGCCTTCGCCGGCGAAGTCGGGACACCCCGCGGGAGGAGGCACTTCGGGGGGGCCGTGAAGGCAGGGCATGGGGCAGTGGTGGGGTGAGAGGAAAATCGCTCAGAGCGGCCCGTGCAAGAGAGAAGTGCACTCCAGATTCCGTAATAAAAGGGAGGGGGTCCAGACCCTCCAAGACAAGCCATTTCAGACCTTCCCCGTGGGAGAACCCTCCAAAACATCGTCCCCAGACCCCCCAGGCCCTCCAAGATAGCCTGGAAGAGACCCCCCCCGAAATGAGACCCCCCTCCCTTTATTACGAAATCTGGGGTATTCAGCTGGGCTTCGTTCCCTGGCTCCACCTTTGGGTAGCCCCCCTCTATGAAGCCCCGAGCATCGGCGGCGCGCCGAGGGGGGTACAGTCAGCCCGTATGATAAGGACGCGCGGTGAGGATGCAAGGGCCTTGGAATGCCGTGTCGACACTTTGCGAGCGGGCGCGGCCAGCGAAAGTGACCAAGGATGGGCCGAAGGGGGAGATGCAAGGGTAAACTTGGAAAATTGCTCATCCTCACTGTGCGGGTTGACTGTAGGGAGGAACGGGGAAGGCTCCATGGAATGAGGCCGCCTCTTTGAAGGATCCGGCCCTACATCTGTAGACAAGGTCCGCGCTTTCTAAGAAACAGGGGTGCTTCTAAGAAGCCTTCCCCCCTCCCCTTACCACCCTCTGCGCCAGAGGCAGGAGGAGGCAGGAGGCATGAGGCATGGGGTATGGCCGGTGGCAGGAGGAGGCAGGAGGATGCAGGAGGATGCAGGAGGAGGCATGAGGCATGAGGCATGGGGCATGGGGCATGGGGCATGGGGCATGGGGCATGGGGCATGGGGCATGAGGAGGAGGAGTAGGCAGGAGGAGGAGGCAGGAGGAGGAGGAGGAGGAGGAGGCAGGAGGAGGAGGAGGAGGAGGAGGAGGAGGAGGAAGCGGAGGAGGAGGAGACAGGAGGCAGGAGGCAGGAGGAGGAGGAGGCAGGAGGCAGGAGGAAGCAGGAGGAGGCAAGAGGAGGCAGGAGGAGGAGGAGGCAGGAGGAGGAGGCAGCCGGCCGAGACCATGCTTCCACGGCGCGAGGAGGTCAGGACATCGCGGCGGTGACGACGACGCGGAGGTCAGAATATCTTGGCTAGGGGGCAAACAAACCTACCTCGCTTTTGACCACCCTCGCTTCCAAGAGATACCAAGCGATGCCAAACTACGGCCTGTACTGGTCAGGCCGCTTGACGAGGAGGCGCGTGGTACGACTTGGTTTTGCCTGGAAGCGAAAGCGGGGTAGGTAATTCACGCTCTGATTGGCCCCCTCCCCTTTGGACGTCCGACATGGGTACGAAAAAATAGGCACAATGCCCAACAACTAATGCTGTCCCAAACCAGCAGCGGCCGCTGTTGGGCAGGCGGCCTTCTGTCTCAGATGTGCACAGGCCGCGGGGACGCCGACAGCGAGTCCTGTTCGAAATGAGCAAGAGCTGCTGTTGGGCATTGTACCCATGCTTTCCGTACCCATTTCGGGCGTCCAGATCCCCAAGGGCAGCATGTCGTCCCGGATTCATGCTTGATGTTCCAGGGTCCTCCGCAGACGGCCCCAGGAGGGCCGAAGTCGATGGAAGGCGTCGGGATTCAGAAAACAGCCCTTCGGAGTCACGAGAACGGCGGCAGCGGCGACGACAACTCCAGCGCAGCCAGGCAGCCTCCTTACCCGCAGGGAAAGAGGAGGGAGGAGGAGGGAGGGAGCTGGGAGGCAGGGGGAGAGGAGGAGGGACGACCAGACCTCCTGTGACTCTATACGAGGTGTCTCGACTGCAGCGATCGCGTGCGCCGAAGACGAGCGAGGGGGGGTGCGCGCAGCATAGCCCGAGGCATGTGCGCGGACGAGGGGGGTCAAGGAACATGTTGAAAGAAGAAAAGGGGGCCATGGAATCTGGGAGACTTCAGGACCTCGGCCATGAGATCCGCGCCCCCCTTACAATGCTCACTCCCCCCCAGTCTTGATGGTCTTCGGCTCAGAGCTCGGGCATACGGCGGCCGTTCGGGACGGTCCAGGCACCCACGGAAATCTCTCGACGAGGATGCGAGAAGATCTCCAATGATACGGGAGAAACAAAAACAATCAAGGCTGTAGGGCTAGGGGGCTATAGGGCTATTGAGCTATAGGGCTATAGAGCTATAGGGCTATAGAATTGTAGGGCTATGGGGCTATATAGGGCCCCCCCGGGCACGCCCTGGCACCCGGGCACCTGGGCACCCGAGCACCCAGGCATCCGGGCACCCCCAAGCACGCCCGGGCACCCGGGCACCCAGGCACCCGGGCACCCCCGGGCACCTGGGCGTGCGGCGAAAATCGGCGACAAACCTAACCTAACCATATGAATCCGCTAGGACCCCTACAGAGACAAGCTCTGATATCGGGAATAGCCAACGAAAGCTTCCTCTCCCTTCTCCTCTGGCGACGAAAACGCCCCCCTTCGACAAGAGGCCTGCCAGATGGGGTCCGAATAGATGAGGTCGGACCCGATGCATCGCCGATGAATCGGCGATGCATCGGTGATGTCAGCGATGGATCGGTGACGTCGGCGTGGATTCCACATCGACCCGTATCGCCGATGCAGCGCGACCCTCCGACCCCATCGACTCGAACCCCTCTGGGAGGCCTGTGGTCGACGCCCCCGACGACGAGGCCGACTGGCGCCCATCTGGGAGGCCTGGTGCGTCCTCCCCCCTCTCCCCCTTCGTGTCAGCAGGCTGCTCCGTCTTTTTGAGCAGTGGTGTGGGCGCAGGCACAACCCTGGCCCTGGACCCAGGCAACTGGCAGAGGCCCCCAAGGTCGCTACGAGCTCGCCGTGGTGTCACGGCAAGAGCACCGGAATAAATTCGCCGGCCCAACGGGCCAGGGCGTGCTAAGATCTCCGGTACCTGGTTAACAGTATTTCTAGTTCGCGCGCGCGGGGCGGCCCCCGGGGGTCCCCGGACGAAAAGTACCCCGGCAAAGTCCCGGCAAGTCCCCGGCAAGGTCGGGCCAGAGATGCCGGAGCCCTGTTACAGGGCCCCAGGACGGGCCAAGAGGTCCCCAAGAAGCCTCCAAGACGGTCCAAGAGGGCCCCGAGACGGCCAAAGATCGCCCGAAGACGCCCAACAGGGCCCCAAGACAGCCCAAGAGGCCTCCAAGACGCCCCAAGGGCCTTCCAAGAGGCCTCCGAAGAGGGCCCCAAGAGGCCAAAATCGTTGATTTTCATTGTATTTTTCTATGTTTTTTGCGTTCTGGCTTTTTCGGCTTCCGGACGCTCCAAGACGGCCCAAGAGGCTCCCAAGACCGCTCCAAGACGGCCCACGAGGCTCCCAAGACGGCCCCGGAACGGCCCAGGAGGGCCCCCAAGACGGCCCAAGTGCCGCCCAAGACGGACCAAGAGGCCCCAAGACGGGCCCAATAGGGGCTCAAGAGGGGAACCGAGAACTGAAAAATCGAGCCCTCCGCCCCAGAAGGCGCCCAGGAGGCCCCAAAAAGGCCCCAAAAGGCCCCCAAGAGGCCCCCAAGACGCCCCAAGAGGCGCCCAAGAGGCCCAAAAGAGGCCCCAAGAGGCCCCAAAACGGCCCCCAAGAGGCCCCAAAACTCGTCTAGCCCACAACGGTGCGACAATATGGGCCGGCGGAATGAGCGAAGCG